ATTATTATTATTATTATTATTATTATTATTATTATTATTATTATTATACTTAATTATTAAAAAAAAAAAAAAAAATTATAAAAAAAACCTATAAATATTATACTAACAATTTTAGATATTAATTAAATACAGCTTGTATAAATTAAACGATACATACTATAACTTCAGAGTTGGTATTTTATTTTTTATGGTTTCGTCCAATATAAATGCGTATTACTGATATACCCAACTATATTATACAGATACCTAATCATATTATAATATACTATACTTTTGTACTGTAATCTCTAAAATCAAGAATATCATTGTAATTTCCAATCTACCTATTAAAATAGTACTACCTTTGTGTATAAAATGAAAGCACAAAAGACTTTAAGAAATATATTACATGCGATTAGGTTCCTATAATTATCATTAGTTCATGTGATAGTACTGTTTAAAAATAATTATTATTCTTTTTTTACTTTTCATAAATATTCAATGTTATTAAATACTACAAAATGCAAAAACAATTTAAAAAAAAAAAAAAAGAAGAAAAAAAAGTACTTATAAATATTAACAAACTTTTGTAATTTCAAAATTTAAGTCTGTTTTATTCCTTTTTTCAATTATTATTATTATTTAAAATAATTTAACAATCTGAATTCAATTAGTAACAATAAGAAAAAATAAGGTGCACAATCAATTTTCATTTATTATGATGAGAATAACATCCTTTAAAAGCCCCTCAAATATTATTTGTTGACAATGTTAATTTTTGTTTTTGTTTTTATATTGATAGTATCTAGGACAGTTTCTTTTGAGTTTCCTATTGCATTACCAGTGATTTTGTTTTGAGGACATTGATAAAATAAGTGAATTCTGTTAGTGATTTATTAGACGTGGAATGTTCTCCAATAAACGTAGGCGAGTTCATTAACTGTTTAAATTTTAAATACTTAAATAGTGATGCATTTATGAAATACCCCGGATACTCCAACTATTAGATATTTAGACAATCGATTGAAATGTTTTAATTTATTAACGAAAGTTGGAAGCCTTGGTTTTACAGTTTTACTTCACATTACTATTTTGTAAATAAAAATGACTTTGTTATTGTTTTGTTTATTAATAGTAAAGTTATGCTCAAAAGTTCATTTTGAATTTTACAAATAGATATTGCTCAAGTGTGTAATCATAACTTTTTTATTTTTATTATTGTCTTTTCCTAATTTTTGAGTCTTTTGTCTAAGGTGATAGCTTCAATTATCCTACATTGAATCAATATTTTTTTTCACAAATTTAACATCAAAATAATAATAGAAACTTTTTAATTTTTATTTACCTACTCTTCGTTTATTTGTTGAATGATAACTTTTTGAAATTTTTGAGTTGCATTCGCTATAATTCACAAATATGTATTGATAAATTAAGTACTTAATTAACAACTTGGTATAACTTTCTAATATTTACTGCTAACTATTAAAAGTCACTAGTTATGAATGGCCTAGCCTTTATTCGTCTATTATTCTATATTTGTATAAATTTATGAGCAATAGAACAATTAACTTGTCTCGATCTAGCATCATCATTCATCATCATCATCCACCAATGACTACTATTCATTATTTGAGAATTCAATAATATACATTGCCAGTCAGGTAAGACTTTTTACGTCATTACTCATTAGTTATTAGTTATTTAAGTAAAGAATAAAACAATCGAATGATATATTATCTAAAAATAATAAAACGTTTTAAATACGTATATAAAAAACAAGTGGTACTTATGATATTTATAATAGTTTATCATATTTTATCTTATAACTTACAGTTTTTTATATATAAAAATACCCTATATATGAATACACAATTATAATCCAAATTATCCAACTTATATAATATTGATGGTGTTATTACATATTATGCAATATTATTGAATAAAAATATTAATACAATCAAGGTATACATTTTTAGATATTTTTTGAGCATTATTTTTAAAATAAAATATTAATATTATATAGCTTCATACGTAAACAACGTAAAATCCATATTGTTTCCGTAACGTTTATGTAGCCAAATAATATTATTATTTTTTTTTTTTTTGGACTTAGACCAATTTTTTAGTCGAATATTGTAGTTCAAAAGTTTTGGTTATATTTTTTCTGGGAAAATGAAACATAGACCGGAAACCTACCGATCGGTGTAATGCGCCACAGAACATGTTTTTTTTTCTATTTCAAAATTTCAAGTAAAGCAATAAGAAATAAATAATTGTTTTTTTCTTAACCAAGTCTGATTAAAATATGAGGATTTAATCGTAATAAAAATAATATTGGTTAACTTTTTTCACTTATAATTCAAAACAAATACATATTTCATGACGAGCGCGGAAATCGTGTACACTATAAAAATACATGTGTCCAAAAAACTAATAACTGATTATGATCTTATTTATGCCAACTATGTGCCTATTATTTTATTTTACAGCACGCCGTTATAATGATAAAATAAAAATATCGGCTTTTGTACAATTTCGTGCGGTAACAAGACCCGGTGGAAAAACGCCATTAGATGTTGATACAAAATAATTAGGTACCTAACAACCTTTTAAAATTTACTGAGTAACGCCACGTTAATATGTATATGCATTAATAAAAAGTAACTGAAAATTAAACAGTAGATATATTATACATGTACAAATTATAGTACCACGATTCTTATTCTGGGTTAATTACTAACGAGCATAATAAATTATTTTACCTGAAACGTTTCGGATTTATTATATTCGTTCATCCTAATTTACATTTACCTCGTCACGGATTAATATTCAAGGCGTAAAGATAAAACATCATCGTCACATAGCTGCAGCCACTTACAATACAACACTCGGATATACATAACTTATCAATCAAAACTCACACGTATTGGAGATTTTTAACGAAGCATATTGTTACTGAAAAATGTATAAATATTTTTTTATTCTTTCAAATGAAATGATGCTTATTGTGTATACCTGTGTATTTTATTTTTTCATTACACATTTTTTTTCCATTTGATGAATAATACAAAGAGCATATATACCTACTACACAATATTTACATGCATATACACAGAGTGATTTATCAAGCTTGCTTACCCTAATTTTTTCACTAAATGATGAACATATTAATTTTTTGTTTTTCTATTTTTTTTATAAATTTTAAAACCAAATTTTCGAATTCTTGAATTTTTTTTTTTTTTTGTATTACTGATTCCTACAAAGATATAAAACTCTGCTTTTCGAATGAAAACTACTTTTTTACTGTAAATTATGAGCAAAACCCTGTCGCCAAAAAAATGACCTCTCGCTTTTCGCCCAAACATTGTAAAACTACTTTCCTTTCTCGCCCAAAAATAGTATAGCACTTTTTGACCACATTTTTAAAATATACACTACGGTAAACACTTTCTCTAAATAATTTATTTCCATTATAAATACATATCTACAATAATCCACTTAATATCTTATAAAGATGATATCGTCATAATAACATTTGGAAAACTAAAAGTATATTATCTACAATCGTCTATCGTCGAGATAGATTTATCTCAGTGTGGTCCACTTATTATTTTATAAAGATAATATAATAATAATTTCATTATAACCTCAATAATATTTGACAACTGGGGACAGCTGTTTCAGAGCTGTTTCGTTTACTTTCAAGTCAAAATGCGTTTTTCGGCGGTAATTTTTTAATTAATATTGTTGACGATTTCAGTAAATTTAAGTGAAATCATGGAATTCTTTGAAAGTAAAGGAGGATATCGTATGGTAGAATATAATAGTTTTAAATATAACTTTGGATCGACAAATCAAAAATACAACTTTACCCATTAAAGATGCGTTACGATAACTTGTAGTGCACTAATATATTCAGACAAGAATGATTTTTTTTCATTTCAACAACTTTAGAACATAATCACGACTCCTACAATCGATCAAATATTCATCATCTAATTATAAATTTAGGATGTAAACGTAAAGCTGTAGAAAACATGCATATACAACCGAAAAAAATAGTTTGATGGAAATTGCTCACAATGACCACGCAGCATCAACATTTACTGTATCTGATATTAATAAACTGACAAAAAAATATACATAAATATCGTAAAAGTATCATTTCTCCTAATCCTACTAAAATGAAGTGCATAGATCACTTATTGATATGGAAAAAAATAATTACTACTAAAAGAGTAATTTACCCAAAAAAGAAAAAAGTGTGTATCATAAAAACGTGATCGAAAATTGCTATAATATTTTTTGACGAAAAGAGTCCCACCAGTAAATTTTAACTTAAATATGTTTTTGTTTTTAAAATACTTTTATTCACCTAATACAAAATTTAAATGAATGATTTTTTAGTTATTAAAAAATAAGCCATAAATATGATTTTACAAAAATATAAAATAAGCGTTATAGTATTTATTATAAAAATACCATTTTTAAAAAATGATAAATTAATATTAATTGTTAAAATTTTAAAATAAACTCTGTATCTTCTAAACAAATTACATGGAATTATAATACTTGGTATTCTTACTACACAAAGTTAAATTACTCAAGAATCATATGGTCTTTAAATATACTTGAGAATTTCAAAAATCATACTTTAAAAATATACGGAGCATGATTGGTAAATCGGTAAATCGCTTTGTGTGTGTGAGTGTGTTTTATATTTAATATATATGTGTGTGTGTGTTACATATATATCTGAGTGATTCAACGGATCTCCCCATTTATTTAGGACCTCTCTCG